GTCACAAACCTATTCACTTTATACAAAATGGTCACAAACCTTTAATTTTGCACATTTCGGTAACAATTGTTTAGACTAATAACAAAACGATAATTCCGTCCATCTCCATCCATAAATATGTTATTTTACTCCAGTCAGCACGCCATGTCATCAACAAATAATAATAATAAAATACATAAACCAAACCAATAATATCCAACCAAACCAAACTCATTTCCACCCGAAGAGCAGGGTCATCGAAAGAGGCTGTGGAGGAGGAGTCGAGAGCGGCGAGGGTCATCGAAATTTCGTGAAGGCGGAACTGGTTTATGGTGGTGGTGCGCGCGATAGTGAAACATGCCGAGGCTCTCTAGTTCTCCCACACCAAAGGAATCCATCTTTGATCTTCGAAATAGCATCTCTTTTCAATGCCCTGTTGCCATTCAATTAGATCTAGGAATCAGAAGCTCATTTGAATCATAGAATGAAGAGTCAGAGGGAAAAAGAAATAGAAAGAGACGGAGGAGAGGAGAAGAAGAAGAAGAAGAAGAAGAGAGAATGGGGCATCAATCTCCTTTTCTTCCCTTGTCGCCTTTTCTTCTCCAACTAGATCCGCCTCTTAGTCCCGTTTAGCTCCTCAACCAGCCTTTGGCTTCGGCGGCACCCGTAATATCTCGTCAACCGCTTGCTTCGTGGCAACGATGGAGGAGAAAGGGGGAATCAATGGTGGCGACGATGGAGAAATAGTGGAAAACAGATGATGGCCCGGCAGATGGAATCAAATGCGACATCAAAGTTTTGGGAGCAATCGATTGGGGAGGAAAGGCGTCGGGATGGAGGAGGAGATCGGAATCTCTACCGACACAATTAACCGCTTTGATGTCCGTGATGTTCAGCCAGTGAGTTGGTAATTGCCGATCCATGTAACCCAAAATTGGATTGGGTTTGTATTTTTATCGAGTATAATTTAATTTTCGGGTGGGCTGAGTTTGGTTTGGTTGGATATTATTGGTTTGGTTTATTGATTTTTTATTATTATTGTTGATGACATGGCATGTTGACTAGAGTAAACTAACGGAATTTTGGATGGAGATGGACGGAATTACCGTTTTGTTATTAGTCTAAACAATTGTTACCGAAATGTGCAAAATTAAAGGTTTGTTACCGTTTTGTACAAAGTGAATAGTTTTGTGACCATTTATGATAATTACCCTCCTTCTCGTGTGTTGTTTGATCATGCAAACTGGGTCGGCAGTGTGAAGTATTCTTGCTACCCTCATTGTTCCCATCAGGTAATATGTTACTCATAGTAGCGCTCTTCACCTTCTGGCCCTTTCCCTGCTCCTTTGCATTATCTCCTTTACTAGGTTGTACTATCTTCTCCACAAGCCGGGGTTCTGACGCAGTTGCATGTACCACAGTCTCATTTTCATCGTTGAGAGCAACAAAGTGATTCGCTGGACTATCCCCATTACGCGCCCACATGTAGTTCAATCTTTTTTCCAGAAGTGTAAACGCAACTTTCTTACCAAGGCCTTGGAAAATCAACGCCGACCTCCATTCACGTCGCCATTTTTTTTGGGCTGAAGTGAACGACACCGGCGGGAATCAGGGATCGTAAGTCTCTTCGTCAATCACCTCATCCTCTTCCTTTTCACGTTGGAACACATCCTCTGAATCAGATTCAGCAACATACCAATAATCTTCCTTAAGAACGTCCCTAAACAATCTTGGGGTACCTCCTTGCCTTGCCCCTTGTGGAGCTCTAGATTTTTCAACAGTTGGAGTACTTTCCTCCTAGAACTTTCATTTCCATCTCTTCAGTTATTCCGGTTGAAGGGATCTGGTCAGACTGGGGTAGCTGCATCTCCCTGACTTTTTTCTTCGGTCGGGTAGTCTCCTTTGCACTTTTCCCATCAGGCGAAGAGAAGCCAATCGCCGCCCGCTGTGCACCACTGATGTCTGGTGGTTTCTTCGTCGTGGAGGGGTTCCAGCCGACGGAGGCGTCGTCATTGCGAGTTGGGAAGGAAAACCTAGGGTTTTTTTGGGGGAGAGGGATTCCGAGAAACTCGAAACCGAATTGCGTATTACAAACGACAGTTATTGGGACCGAAATTTTTCAAAGCTATTCATCCTAACAAACTTTGCACATATGAACAGTTTTGACCCATTTAGTAAGGTATCTATTTCAACATCTTTTTTGTTTGTGGGGTATTTCAGCATCTTTTATTAGCCTAGTCTACAAAATATATGTTCTTATTAACGAAAATAGATTTTTTTATGGAAAATTGAGGATTATTGAATTTTATATTTTGTGAGAAGATCGATTGCAATTAACCTAGATTTACACAATATATTGTTTTTGCCTTGTTGCAATTGTAGTCGCTTAGAGAGGCCCCAAGTCCAACCAATGAGATAAGAAAGGAATGAAGCAGGGAGCCGCTAGCGGCCCAAGTTTCTAAATCCATTTAGATAGACTTGGGTCATTGATGAGAGGGCAAAACATAATAGGGAGAACCACGGGCTGGGTTGTGAAGTGCGTGGATTGGGTTCAGATTTTTTTCTTTCTTCATAGGAGTCCAGATTAAAAACATGAAGATGTAAGAAGCACTACAAGAAAATCCAACAATAACTACGGTCACCTAGCGACACGCGCTGACAACCGTGGTTATTTGATAATTCCCACCGGACAAATTGACGGAAAGATCGCCCGTCGCGATGTGATTAACATTAGTTCAGTGGATACAGTCATACAACCGTAAAGTGACCAAGTTTAATTTCAATTTTCGTTTTCGTTGTCGTTTTCGTTTTTACTTTTAGAAAAACTAAAATAGGAAAGAGAATTTATGCATTTGTTTTTAACTTTTTGCTTCTCCCAACCTCCTTCCTCCATCGATTTTAAAAGGGATAATAACATTTTATGCCCCTGTACTATTGCAAGTTAACAAACATGCCCCTCTACTATTATTTTGCACTAACATATCCTTTAACTATGATAAAATAATAAATATACCCTTCCATCAAATTTCCATTAACTAATCGTTAAAGAAAATAGTAAATGACTAATTTATCCCTCAATTGTTTTTTCCCAACAAAAAGAACTCGTTAGTTTGTTTTTAATTATTCTCCCCTACCCCCACGCGTGATACTCCCACACCAATCTTCTCCGGTCCTCCTTTCCAGAAGACGACCACAATGGTGGCAGAGAAAAAAAAAATCGAACTTTAGTAAAACAACAAAATTTAAAATACAAAATGCTTCAAAATCGGAATTAAAAAATAAATTAGGGTAAATTTAGGTTTTTGTTTACCAGTCGGGGATGGAAGTTTCCGAAATGGTTCGGGGGCGAAGAGTACCTGTGTGCTCACCTTCAATCTAGAATATGGTTTGACTTCTTCGTAACTCATTCCAATGGCGATTGATTACGTATTCTGTCAGAGTTTTGAAACATTATCAACACTAATTAATTGAAAGTAGAAGTGATTATTTTTTCATGGAGAACCCCTTTCTCTCCCTTGCGGCTGAGACGGTCGTCCATATTTGACGAACGTGTAGGATTCCACCTTCTCGTAGGATTCATATCTAGACGTAAAGATTTTGTGGATTAGTTTGGTTGGATACGGTCATGTAAAAGTTGGACCCAATGACTGAATCGTCGGAGTCGCATCTGAGGAGGATCGTCGGTGTTGGGATGAATGTTCGGTCGTCGGATAAGGGTTGAGGAGGAAAGGGGAAAAAGAAAAATTAAAACTAAATTAAATAACTGCATTTAAAAAAATTATGGAATAAGTGAGGGCAAAAAAGTCATTTCATGTGATTTAACTGTTAATTGACATAAATCTTAACGGAAGGTTACTTTTGTTCGGTTTTCATAGTTCAAGGGTATGTTTGTGCAAACCAAAAGTAAAGGGGCACGTTTGTTAACTTGCAATAGTAGAGGGGCACAAAACGCTATTATCCCATTTTAAAATTCATATTTTATTATTGTCATTGTGAGAAAGAGGAGGAAAAGATCCCAAGATACGCATGTTTTTAAAAAAAATTTAAAAATACACACGTTATAAAAAAAATTCCCAAAATAAACATGTTTGGGCATCACCGCTGTTGTCAACCGCAGTGAATGCATTCACCGCGGCAGACCAAAGCGGTGAATGCTGGCGTAACACTGAAACTTCAAACAAACGTAACTTTGCGCTCGGTTATCCGATTGTAGCGGATTTTTTTTGATTCCGCATAACTTTTCAAGATCTTTCAATCTGAAACAAGACTTCATCCAAAAAAAATTATTTGCTACCCCCGAACGAGCAATTTTTCGATTTTGACAAACTTTGGAAGATCATAACTTTGTGCTCCACAATCCGAATGTCATGAAACTTTTTTTTTATTTTGCATAACTTTTGAAGTAGTACAACTTTGATTATAACAATAATTTTGGAAAGTATGTTGATTTGTGAAAAGTAAAGGCAAAGTTATTCCAAAAATCCTGTATGAAAATACTTATTTTTTAAAAATTATTTCCTATTTGTTTTAGTTCTTAAAAAGTTATGCGCAATAAAAAAAAACTTTACGACGTTCGGATTGAGGAGCTAAAAGTTATGTCCTTCCAAAGTTTGGCAAAATCGAAAAATTGCTCGTTCGGGATAACAAACTACATTTTTTTTAGATGAAGTCTTATTTCAGATTGAAAGATCTTTAAAATTTATATGGAATCAAAAAACATTTCGCTACAATCGGATACCGAGCGCAAAGTTACGTTTGTTTGAAGTTTCAGTGTTAAGTCAAGCATTTCCCTCGGCCGTCAATCTCGGTGATACATTCACCGCTTTGATCTGCCGTGGTGAATGCATTTACTGCGGTTGACATCAGCGGTAATGTCCAAACATGTGTATTTTGAGAAAATTTTTTATAATGTGTGTATTTTGAGAATTTTTTTTTAAAACATGTGTATTTTGAGAGTTTTTTTTTAAAACATGTGTATTTTGTGCTCAAAGCTCATCCAGATTTCCTCCCATTGCTTTTCTCAAGGTCTTCGCGCCTTATCTTCTTTATCGATTAAAATCTACCAGATTTTGTGTCAATGACGAAGAAGAGTCTTGCAGGCGTTCAAAGTTTCCAGTTCGGATATAAGGAAGAAGGTTAATTTCTCAGACTTGTCGTCTAATTTTGACGCGCTGCAGATGGGCGGATGATAAGGCACGCACAGATGAACAGTCGCCATCCATCGTCACGACTCTCAATCATGGAGATCTAAGCTATAACCGCGGTCTTCTAAAATCTGAATCGAGGTAAGATTTGTGGAGGCGTTCGATTCAGTTTCTTCTCTCAATTAGGAATTCTTTCAAACCCTAGGTTCTCAATTTTCAATCGATTCTTTACTGTTGTTTCTTTCCTTGTTCAATTCATCATTGATATCTTTTCTTCCCTTGATCGAATCTCAACTATTGTTTCCTTTCTTTGATCTCGTCTAATTATGCCTCATCGCAATCACAGTGGGTGAATTCATAGTTTGTTTGTGAGTCTGACTGGTGCATGTTGATTGGAGACATGCTCAAAAGTGACATCACAAGTTATATGAAGATCCAATCCTAAAACTCAAAATACAAATTTATAACTTGCAAGTTATTTGACTGAAATTTCAGAAACTGATCTTATTTTGGCTTCTTACAGGCTACCTGTCAAGAAGTGCAACAGTATGGCAATGAGGGAAGAATTGGAAGAGAAGAGAAATTACAACAGTATGGGGGCACAACTAGTGCATGTCCAAGGTGAGCATCTCAATTCTCAGCTCCCCTGAAAGTTAAATTGGGCTCACTAGAACACTTGCACAATGCTTTCTTTACCGAACAGAGCATCCTTTGATTTATTTCATATCTGCAGTTGAAGTTATGGAAGTAGAAGCAAGAGACTATACAAATAACATGGAATAAAATACTCAAAAGTATTCATGTCATAAACCCACATCCACTTCTTTTCCTTACAATTCAGTTGTAAGTCATTTTCTGCCGAAATTAGGTGGCTCTGTTAGGGGTATTCTGTATGTACCTTGACAATGCTAGAATTTCACCAATTTGTGGTAACTATCAAGTTCTTACAACCTTTGAGTTTTTGTTTATCTATCAACAGATATTTATTAGTGTCAACGTATGGTGATTTGGAGAAGCTGTATCCAAATTGTGTAGACCTGTGCAGAAGCCTTTTATGCCTTAACCCAGGTACCTATATCCGTGTATGTTAACCAACCTACTTGTAGCTTTGCAAACTATGAAACGTTATGTTAGGTTTTGTGTTTGACTGAGTTAGCTGGTGCTTTTGTAGTTCATAAGGTTTAAGATCATTCCGCGTGATTAGGTACTTATTGTTGTATATTCTTCTCACTATTCGTGCCCCTGTTCAAGAATTATGCTACTGAATTCATTCTTTGAGTCCTGGTTTTCTGCCTGTCTATACCACTTAATTGATGTACTTTGGCAGGGATTTTCACTATGGGCTGATCGGATACTTGGTAAAGAAAAAGGCTGGACCAGTTACCACTCCACATGATCCTCTAGCTATAGCACAAAGTTCCCATGCAAATTCTGTCATGTCAAATCAAAGATTCCTTACTGCGGTACAAGACAAGTAAATTCTTCTGAGACAATAGTCGTTGTTCCCATCAAATTTAGGGAAGCTAGTATAGTAGATAGCTTCTTTACTATGTCCCCTTGCTTTTTACTATGTGAGAACACTGTGCCAACTAGATGCATTTGATGTGAAACTGTAGGGATCATTCTGTTCTTATAAGTAGAATCCGGGTTGTTGATCATGTTCCTCTCAATTGAACTAAAATGGTGGATATTCTGCATTTTGCCCTCCTTACTTTTATTGCTTGAGAACTCCTGAGTGATAGAACTCAAGTCCGAGCTCTATCGGTCGATTGGGGAATTAGGATCAACTAGGGATTGATCAGGGGATTTAGGAAATGGAAGAGGAGTAGAATTGGGGTTGGTCGAGAAAGAAGAGGGGAAAGGGAAGTGCTGCCTGCGGCAGCCGAAGGGAAAGGAGGGGAAAAGAGGCTCGTCGGCCAGAGAGGAAAGAGAGGGAAATTGGGAGATTAGGTTTAGGTTTAATCTTGCTTAGTGGCCTAATCCCACTTACAAGTAATATATATATATATATATATATAATTGGATAATTACCTACTACTATCCAACATATAATTTATTCCCGATTCCCGAAATGGTCCCAATAATCCGAAATAGCTATAATCCGACACTAAACATAATACTAAAATTACTAGGTTTCTATCATCCCCGTTTTCTTCGAAAATCAACATTGTCCCCAAGGTTTCTCCTCGAGCTCACTGGGTTGCCTCTTCTCCAATCCCGTCATCATCGGCTGCGTCTTCCGCTTCATCTTCCTAGCGCCCCACTAGCTTCATCAGGTCCGGCTTCGGGCATTGATTGCCGATGGTGAACCAACCGTCACAATTGAAACATTTGCCCTCCTGCCTCTTTTGCTCGACCTCGGCCGGAGACAGCCGCACGAACCCTTTGGGAATGGCTCGCGGTCCCATCCTAGCCACCGGTGCAGGGTCTCCACTGCCAATGTTAGCTCCAATCGTGCTTCCCACTGGCGCCCCTCCCATGCCGCCACTGTTCCCGCTGCTTCCTCCACCTCCACTCGATTTCGAGAAACGGTCAATGGTGCTCCTCCAACTAGCCAGTTCTTCCTCCTTATGACCTGCAAGACGAAAAGCAGCTTTCAAGGAATCTGGTTCGAACACTCTGACTGCCGCTGCTATCTCGGGCTTAAGACCCGCCATGCACAGCCCCACCAAGGTGTCCTCTGAGACTCCTTTACATTGGTTCCCCAACTTGAAGAACTTCGCACGATATTCAGCTACCGTGCCGGTCTGCTTCAGCTTCGCCAACTGCTCAGGAGCCCACCCATCCGACTTCCCAAACTGATAGCGGAGCTCCTCCTGAAACATAGCCCAGGTGATCAAAGTAGCTGCGGTGCGTAGGATCTCTCCATCCACTCCCACCACTGGAGCGCATCTCCCTCCAAATAGAACGATGCCAGATAGGTCTTCCTTTCCTCCGGAATCGGGTGGTTTTTGAACCACCTCTCAACTGCATACAACCAAAGGCCTACATCCTCTTGCCCATTGAATTTTGGAAATTCAATGGTAGGAGGCTTAGCTCGAAAAACTACTCCATCCATTCCCTCATAGTTCATATAGTGGGACCCATACCTGTCATTTTCTGGCGTCCTCCACAGCTGCCCAAAAGAAGAGCCATGAATCCGGCTTGGATTCACATGCCCATAGTCACCTGGGTAGCTGCCTTGTAGGTTTGGGTACCCTCCTGGAGCGTGAGGTACCCCGTACGGTCCCTCCCAGCCGGCTGATTCCCTGCTGTCCACCCTCCTGGTTTGCTGAGCAGTCGGACTTGATCGATGTCCGGTTCGATCCATTACGGCCCGACCAGGCCCGGTTCGGCTCACATCAGTTCGATCAACGTCAGTTTGCCCTATCCCAGTTCGACCGGTCTCGGTCCGGCCTGCCTCGGCCTAGCCCCCTGCGGTCCGCCCCATAGGAGCCGAACCCACCCGCCCCATCTGGTCGGCGGCCCTCCTCGGCCCACCAGGCCCCCTCTGGTCCACTTCCGGTTCAGCCCACCTGGCTTGTCGATCCGCCAGGCTAAGTTCGTCATACTCGGGCCCATCGTCCAGATCCAACCACCCCAGCCGGTTATGGATCTTCGTGTAGTGGCTCATTGGCTCCGGCCCAATATTCATGGAAGGCCCTTCTGTGTCATAGCCGGGCATCTTGGCCTTCCCTTTTCGAGCCGCAATCTCTTGGGCCGTAGGTGTAGGTAATAGACACTTGCCCACACCTAACCCTGCTTGCGCTGGGCCTGTCCCTGCTCCGCCTCCACCTGCTCTCGGCCCGAGCTCGGCCGCCGCCTCTTGCGTAGCGCCCCTGGCCGCCGTGCCCTTCTCCGTCGCTGTCGGCGCCTTCTCTGCTGCCGCCGCCCCTATCGCCGCCGATCCTCCCACGGCGGCCGCACCGCCTCCGCTTCCCGCGGCTCCCGTCGCCGCCATCTCGCCGCCGAACGCGCCGCCCTGGTCGGCTCTACCCGCCGCGGCGACCGCCGTCGAGCCCGCGCCTCCGCCTCCTCCTGAGCGCCCCAGGGCCTCAGCCAGCATCACCTTTAGCTCGCCAATCGCGAGCCACATCTTCTGCGACTCCGCCTCTCGGGCTCGCTCACCCTTCAACCGGGACCGGCGCTCCTGCTCCACGGCCTCTGCCATCTTGTCCAACCCGGTGCGAAGCTCCTCACCGATTGTCTCATCCACCATCTCCCCATCCCGCGGACGGGGAATCTCGGGCACGCCATCGCCGGAGGAAGGAGGTCCGGTGGCCGCGTTCGCTGCCTGCTCCTGCGCCGCCTTGGCGGCTTTCTCAGTTGCTTGCATTGACTTGGTTGACACCATCTCGATCGTCGTTCTTCGTTTGCTCACGAACCCAAGAACGAGGCTCTGATACCAAATGATAGAACTCAAGTCCGAGCTCTATCGGTCGATTGGGGAATTAGGATCAACTAGGGATTGATCCGGGGATTTAGGAAATGGAAGAGGAGTAGAATTGGGGTTGGTCGAGAAAGAAGAGGGGAAGGGGAAGTGCTGCCTGCGGCAGCCGAAGGGAAAGGAGGGGAAAAGAGGCTCTGCGGCCAGAGAGGAAAGAGAGGGAAATTGGGAGATTAGATTTAGGTTTAATCTTGCTTAGTGGTCTAATCCCACTTACAAGTAATATATATAATAATTGGATAATTACCTTCTACTACCCAACATATAATTTATTCCCAATTCCCGAAATGGTCCCAATAATTCGAAATAGCTATAATCCGACACTAAACATAATACTAAAATTACTAGGTTTCTATCACTGAGGCAGCTAGATTTATTAGGCTAACTCCCTGTCAGGTGAACTACTATGTGTTTATTATTTCCTTATGAGCAGATCCTGTGTTGCTCATGCCAATTTTGTAGGCAAGACTCAAAGTAATGGGAAAGAAGGCAAAAAATTATATTTTAAGTATAAGAACCTATAGAGAAAATTTTAAGCTAAGAGTTTTAACCTGTGTTTTCCTATATTTTCAGCGTCCTCTTGACTCCATTGCTCAGCATTCTGCCCACTCTTCGACTGGTGGTCCGTGACAACAGAGGTAGCACTCTTTAAAAGATACTACTTGATGCATTTTCCAGAATGTGTTTTGTGGTTAACCAAGTATCCAAAGGCTTTTAATCCCATTGCTTCCATGTAAACATGTGCTTGGAAATATAGTTTGCATTCTGTTTACATTACTGCCATGTATATCTAAGTGTTGAACATAGTAATCCATGAGAACATAGTTTGAATGGGGTGTCTTTGCAGGCCAGGCTGCAAGTTAATGAAGAAGCAGTTCGAAGAACTTAGTTTGAATGGGGTGTTGCAGGGCTGCAAGTCAATGAAGGTGCCTGTCGAAAACATGTCTAATATGTCCTTGTGTCTTATTCTACTTCTAATGATAATGAATGTTTCTTGTTCTACTTCTAATGATAATGAATGTTATTACTTCTTGTCTACAGGCAATTTGCGTGATCCCATTGGGTTCACAGGGGGTCAAGATTGGAAATTGGTGAACTTGGAAGCAATCTCATGGTAAGTCTAGTTCGACATCAGATTGACTGCTTCTCGTGGATTCTAGCTTACCATTTGTTTTATTATATTGCTACTTGATCAATCAAGTATTGGGCAATGGAGCTCTCCGTTCTCGAAATAAATGGTGTTGTCGAATCTAAGTTAAATAGTAGAGACCCACTTTGGTAGTAATGGATCAGGTATAGAAGGCTCAATACGTTGAAGGATTCTTTTCAGGATACAGAATACTTTGGGGCTTTACTCTGTTAACGTTTCGGCTATCACTGCGTTCATTTTCCCACCAGAGAGGCTATCTAGGAGCAGCAACATACCTCAATGTCTTCTCTTCAAACTTTTTGGTTCTAAGGAACCTGATATGACTTGCTTTTTGAGGACATAGTCAGCAATATGAGAAGTAATGTCTATTCATGGTTCTTTTACCAGAATAGCTTAGTTTTGGAGAACATAAGATGATGTTGTTCATTGAAGTTAATGTTTTGAAAAGCACTAATATTTGTTAGGTCCTTGTTTGCAGCAGTTTTTGGGCTGAGTGTATGTGCAGAATTTGATGCATCCATGTTCAAGCCTCTTGTATAAGGTACACTCCCAGATTTGTATTGAATTTGCTTCTTTTGTGATCCAAAGATCTGCTACTAACTTCCACTTAGCTGCTGGATTGTTGTTTATGACATTTTTCTTCTCTCTATTGTATTCGGTGGCAGATTTTCGATTAGCAAAGCTAGCTTTGAGGTTCGATTCAATTAATGTCAGATGTTTTGAACTTATGCAAGAAATATTGATTTTCCTATGGACGCACATGTCAGATTTTGGACTAGCAAAGCTAACTTCGAAAGTTAAACTTTAGAATGCTCATTGGGTTTTTTGTTGTTGTTGAGAATGGATTATTTTATTAATATCAAGGCTTTTTCAGAACTAGATTGGTGTGCTTTAGTTTCTTAGATGGGTTTGTTTGTGTAATTTATAAGAAAATTACTATAGGTTTAGTTTCTTAAATTAATGGATTAGGTAAAAAGTGCTACTGGAAAAAGCAGCACTTTAGCGACGGTTATAAATGATACTAAATACGGATACACCTGTTTGACAAACTTGTATAGCGACGGTCATTTTAAATTGGTAGCGGTCATGGCCGTCGCTATGTTTTGCCGACGGTCGACCCAAAGCGTCACCAAATAATTTAAGGACTGCTGGGTCAGTGACGGTTTGCGTGTCCTTGTTAAATGTTTTCTTGTAGTAAAGATAACCGTCGCTAAAATGCTCTTTATTTTTTTGACAGAATGCGTCTAGTTAGTAAATACTACATTTAATACACGTATATGTACTTGTACGTATTTTATCCGTTTAAAATTTTCGTATCTATATTATTGTCAAGCTATTTTATTTTTATCCGTTCATTTGATGGCTCCCTTACTAAACGCATATAAAACCCATATAACACGTTTAATATCCGTATTTAATAAATTAAATGGTTAACTTTACTATTATTTGTATATTTATTTATTTTTAAAATAATTAATTTTATATATTTACGGTTATTAACGTACTATTAAACGTAACATTAGCTTAAAAATGAATTAAAATATCTGTACGTATTGTATACGTAACTTTCCCGTACCGTATTTTACTAACTATGCGAAAGAGAACATAATAAAAAAAGACTGGCCCAGTTGGACAATTTCAGAAGTAGGGAGTTTAGGTCTTAAATCATGGATTATACCATAGTTATTAAATTATTACTGTATGACTAAGTTAGTACAAGTTATTTTGTACATTAACTAATGTCTAATAGTACATCAACATCCATACAATCAAATTAGTTATTAAAAAATAAATGTATAAATAAAATTGAAGTTATTAATTTAATTAACTAAATACGACTATTAAATGTATTATGCGGGTTTTACACGTGTTTAGTATGGTAGCAATCTAATAGACAAAAAATAAAATGGTTTGACAATAGTACGACAATGAAATTTTTAAATGCATAAAATACATGCATCCATATATACACATATTAAATGAAGTATTTTTAAAAAATAATTGATACTGGATAGGTCAAGGTGATAATAAATACTAGGGGTCGATACTCCCCGCCCAAACAAGTTGGCACAATTCAGGGGTCGTTTGGAAGTTATGATTCTAGATGAATGATTCTCTGAATTCATGTATTCTGGAGTATGCATCGTTTTTTGTTCCAAAACTTTATTCAATACATGCATTTTAGGTGGGCCCTCAAATCTCATTTCACCCAAAATCACTCATTTTAAATTTCAACAAAAAGGTGAGATTCTTCCTTTGAGATTGTTGGCTTTAATTTTTTTTTATGAATAAGCAGTTTTATTCATCAAGGAGGAGGGATTTGTAGAAACATCCCCCAAACTGGAACCCAAGTACCTCGGTTACAGAATCAAGACAACCAAAAACGTTATCAGAACATTTTAACAGAACAAGCTAAAAAGATTGCAAACCCACACTACACCCTACTACACTATACTATTAACATAATCTTCCGAGACAGCAAGTCCAACTTGAGAGAAGCCATTCCTGAGCAATCGCAATAACCCTTGCATAGGGATGGCAATTTCGACCTGGCCCGTTTTACCCGACCTGTTTGACCTGTTTTGGGGCGGGTCCGACCCGCCCCGTAGGCGGGGCGGGGCGGGCATGGGTAGTCTTATCGACCCGACCTGCCCTGACCCGACCCATTCTTGACCCGTTCTTATCTAAATTACATGAAATCTTAGTCAAATTACTTTGAATTTTCCTTTTATTGCATCATATTTTAGCTATAATAAAGTTGTAAATTAGTGAAAACCTCAATTTCTCCAATAATTTAACTACAATTGTCATAATATTGTTTGTTTTCTTAGTTTTATAATAAAAATAACGAATATTTCTAATGTTTTTCATATAAATTGCATACCCATTGGGTCGACCTGCCCCGACCCGTGACCTGTGATCAATTACCCGACCTGGACCCGCCCTGCCATGGGGCGGGTCTGGGTACCAAGAAACCCGCCCCGGACCTGCCCCATTGCCATTCCTACCCTTGCAGCTTCTTCAAACCCTGGTTTTCTGACAAAGCTTCACCAGACATCACTCTTCTGCAACGTTCCCTCCAAAGCTCAGCCACCACCATCACCCATAGTAGCCTATCACGATCAGATGAGGCACATTTTAACCGAAACAGTGAGATGGCAGTTGCCAAAGATTCCTCCCAATTTGCTCCCACCACATTCCTTCCTGCAAAAATAGCCTGCAGCACATGCTGAGAGTAGGAACACTCAAAGAAAAGGTGATCCCTGGACTCTGCCATAGAAGAGCATAACGGGCAGAGATTGACCACTGCATTGTTCCATCTCTGCACTTTATCTAGAGTAGATATTCTGTTTAATATGATTAACCAGACAAGCAGCTTATCCCGAGGTGTCCCAAAAGAACTCCAAAGCAAAGAAAACCACTGCACTGTCTCATGCTTATCACGAAGAGTCTCCCATACTTTCTTGACTGAGAACTTATCCATCACACAATCACCCCAGTACACACCAGCCGACCTGACTATAAGGTACTGAGTCACTTTTGGTCTAAGCTTCAAGACGTTCCTCCAAGCCCATGAACAGGGTATGGAGGTGGGTATATCCCAAATAGATGTATAGGTGAGTTGGTAGTGCCTTACCCAGCTTGCCCACAGAGAAGAAGAATTTGAAGAGATGTCCCAAAGATGCCTTACTAAGCAAGCCATGTTCCAGCTCCTTAGATCTTTAAATCCTAATCCCCCTTCTTTCTTAGGCCTTGCTATCATTTGCCATTGAACTTTAGCCCTTTTCCCCTCTTCCTCTGCACTCCATAAGAAGTCAGAGCAAGTTTTTTCAATCAACTTAATCACCTTAACTGGTAGCTGAATGATCCCCATCCAATACTGGGTAATACTGGAAATGACAGCAGAGATAAGCTGCATTTTACCAGCATAGGACAAAGTTTTCACCTTCCACCCCCTGATTCTTGCAGTTATTTTTTCAACCAGTGCATGACAGTCAACATTGCTCAATTTCCCAGCTATGAGAGGAATCCCCAAGTATCTCACAGGTAGATGCCCTCTAGCAAACCCAGTACTAGATGAAATTTGAGACTGCACCCTAGTTTCCACACCTCCACAGAACACCTCAGTCTTGGCGGGATTACATCTCAACCCAGATACAACATAGAATGCATCCAAAATAGACTTTGCTTTCCCTACAGCCTCAGGGGTCCCCTTTGTGAAGACCAGGAGGTCATCAGTAAAGCACAGATGGAAAAGCCCTATTCTGTGGGTTTGGGGGTGGGGAGGAAGAGATTTTATGGCATAAGCCCTATTAAACATACAAGATAGGAGTTCCATAGCAATAGTAAAGAGATAGGGGGAGAGGGGATCCCCTTGTCTCAGTCCCTTTTGAGCAGGAAAATAACCAACTAAACCTCCATTGAAACAAACACTCAACTTGGTACTGTGAAGACAAACTTCAATCCAGTTTATGAACTGATTATGAATTTTCATAGCTTCCATTACTGTTTTTAAGTACCCCCAATCTACACTATCAAAGGCCTTCATCACATCCACTTTCAGGGCACATCTGGGAGATATAGCTTTCCTATTGTATAGTCTTACCATCTCATGGGCCAGGAGAATATTATCACTAATCAATCTCCCCTTAATGAAAGCAGATTGATTCTGACTAATAATAACAGGAAGCACTTCCCTAAGTCTGTTTGCAAGAACTTTAGCAATACACTTATACAGTATATTGCAACATGATATTGGCCTAAACTGCTTCATACAATCAGCATTCTACACTTTAGGAATTAGAGCCAGGTAAGTAGAGTTTACCTCTGAGAGAAGTCTCCCTGTTCTGAAAAAATCCAAGACTGCATCAGTGATTTCCATTCTCAAGATCTCCCAATTATGCTGGAAAAACCTTGCTGTGAAGCCATCTGGCCCAGGAGATTTATCTCCATTCATAGAAAAAGAGCTGTTTTCACTTCTTCTCCAGTGACTGGAGAACAAAGAGGATCAGCTTGCTCAGGAGTGAGAAAGTGGACCAGAAGTTGGGAGATCAGCTCACTACTTATTTTCTGAACATCTGGATTCTTTGTGCCTAGCAGATTCTGGTAGAATCTAGCTGCTTCCCCACTCATCTCCTTAGCATCAGTTAGAGCAGTCCCATCTTCTGAAATAAGCTTTTTGATAGTTGAGCAAGCTTGACGGGATTTAACAGAGTTATGGAAGAAAGAAGTGTTTAAATCCCCTGTATTCACCCAAAGCTGTCGTGATTTTTGTCTATATATAGCCTCTTCCTCTTTAAGGAGACCAAATAATCGAGCCTGACATTCATTAACCTTCTGAAAATTCTCAGGGGAAGGCTGCTGGAGGGCCCCTATATGTAATCCTTCTATTTCACA